ATATATACCCCTAAAAGCAGCTGCAAAGTGCTGACTCGGTCAAACGTGATGGGATATTAGAATTAGCTTGTGCAAGCGAAATAATGATCGAAATACCCTTATTTTTTTATATCACAGCTGCGTCGAATGTGGTTTTGCTTAGGTATGTATTCCCCTGTGCTGTGGGTACGGATGGAATTAACAGTAAAATATGGAGGTCTCTACACGTGCAGATTAAAAGGAAGACAGACAATAATGCTCTTTCGGTTACTCTATCAGGTACATCTGTTTACTCTACTATCCTGATCGGTATTAGGAATACTAGTCTTAGTATTACTTTCGGTTGGGAATGTCATTGTATCACATTGTACCGTTTAAGTTTATAAAAAAATCAGTTCGTTTGGTTCAATATAACAAAGCTGATATTAACTGATAGTTGATTACAAAGCAAAGATTTTGAAGTGTGTGCTAAAAATTATTGACAAAGTTTTTTTTTTTATAAAGATGTCAAAAGGAGGTTTGAGAATCAAATAGTCTTTAGATCCATTTATTTTTGGCTAATATAGACCACCAGTGACGTCTGGTGATCTTCCATCCTCGAGTTACAGCCAATTACTACCATTAATTAAAAGGAACCAAACCTGACCCAGATGCCTGTCAAATGAAAGAAAGAGAATGGTAATGAGAAGGTGAACGTGACTTCATAGTCAACGGATAGTAACGACGTAGTTTGTGAACGATGTAAAATTGGCTAAGAACTCAAAAATTTAATTAAGAGAAAAATCTAAATTCTAAAATCTAAGAACTCAAAAATTTAATTAAGAGGAAAATCTAAATTCTAAATTCCGATATCTAACGTTAGAGACTCAGGTCTTTGAAACGCTAAAGAAACTTGTGCAAAGTCGAGATGAAGATCGTGATGCAAGTAAAATTCCGTGTTGCAAGAGAGAACCGGAGTTCCTGGATATTCCTGGTTCATATAAACCCTGACATGTCTGGTTATGACTGGTTCGTACAAGCTTCTCATGTCTGGTTATCACTGGTTTATGCAAGCTTTAATTTTTCGCTTGGTTCACGCTAGCTAAGGTATGTCTGGTTTTGTGTAGTTTTTTACAAGCTTTGTTATGCCTGGTTGTACTAATTCGTAAGTGTTTTGTTGTTTGGTTCATATAGGTTCTGGTATATCTGGTAGTGTCTTGTTCATACAAGCTACGACATGTCTGATTGTTATTGTTCATAAAAACTTTGGCATGTATGGTTTCGCTTGGTTCGTGCTAGCTTTGGCATGTCTGGTAGTACCTGGTTCATACGTTTTTTTTATGTCTATTTGTTTCTGAATCAAACAATTTGGTACAACTGGTCGCGCCTGGTTCTTAAAAGCTTTAAAATGCTCAATACGTTTAGTTCATGCTAACTTTCGTATGTCTGGTGGTTCGTAGTTCATACAAATTTTGGCATGTCTACTTGTTCCAGGTTCGAAAAAGCTTTGACATGTTTGGCTGTGTCTTAATATGCAAACTTTGTTATATCAGGTTCATACTGGTTCATGAAAGCTTTGACAAGGCTGCTTATCAGGAACGTGAACAAGCTTTGGCATATTTGGTAAGCCCTCAAAGCTTGGCCTTCATGGTAAGTACATGTATAGAATACGTGTTTGTGGAATTACAAAGTGTATTATGTGTTGTGGAAATTAATTCAATGTGTAAGGCTCGGAGACTTGACTGAGTATGCGACAGGCAAGAGGAGAGAGCAGAGAGATAAGAGTGAGATAGAATAATGAGAAAGAAATCCTTGATATATGTAGAAATAGGTGGGCAGAGGAATTAAAAGAAATTTATATATATATATATATATATATATATATATATATATATACATCACACACACACACACACACACACACACAACACACACACACACACACACACACATACACACACACACACACACACACACACACACACAACATACACACACACATACACATACACAGCATATATATATATATATATATATATATATATATATATATATTATATATATATATATATTATAATATATATATATATATTATATATATATATATATATATATATATATATATATATAAAGATCAGGAAATAAAGAAGGGGAGCTATGGGGAAATTATACACGCCCATGCATGTTCATAAGATTAAAATGATTATGATGTTGAACAGGGTATCAATGGTGAAGGTAAGCAAACGAGCGAGGCTCTAAAAGGACCTATAAAGGTGAGTTTAGTTTAAAAATTGGAAAAAAAACTTTGGTCCTTGGCCTAGAGGGAAGAAAGTCAATTGACGTCTCGAAATAATGTTCTGTTATTTAGATTCTTGAAGTTTCATTTAGAACATGTTTTCTGTCTACAATTGTACTGTGTACCTTGGCCATCGAGTCTGCCTATATGTTATTGTAGTTGTTTGCTTCTTAGATAAGCACATTGTTACGAATATATTTATAAAGAGACAACAATACTGTGGAGGATACTGTTACTGATCTATAACCATAGGGATACAACTATTGAGAAATTCTGATGTAAAGCATAATTTCTCAAACCTTTAAAGGTGTCTAATGGCGAAGAATTAGTATTTAAGTGTAGAATATTGGCAACTCAGGTAGGGATTTCGCTTTTAAGACATACGTGAAAAATATAATGATATGTAGATATACATTGCTCTGTCGCTGCATTTATGTTGTAAACATGGTGTTAACTACAAGTGGGAAAATGGTGTAGGCTGTGGCATTTTCTGCTGTTTAACCGACTCTGGAAGAGACGAAAAGGAAATATGATGTAATATATAGAAATATACATGATGTATAAAGAAAAATATATAAATATGGCACAAGTGAAAATCAAATAAGGTACTACGTGAAAGTACTGTACAATAGGTGTTGTATAACGAGACAGTAATAAGTGTAATGAATAGTAATTCATGCTTACCAGTAGGACTTATCGTGTTTAAAAATGCCAATAAGATTTTTTTTTTATCATCAGCAGCACGCTACTCTTTATTTCTTTACAGAAAGAGAAAGAGAGAGAGATGTGTGTGTGTGTGTGTGTGTGTGTTGTGTGTGTGTATGTTTATATATAAAGTGTGATCCACCTTCTGCCAACACGTCAAGGGGTTATAATTGTATCAGATCTATATTTCATTCTAAGGAATTTATTGCGGTTCCAATTTAACTTACTATGTTGACAAAATTCTTACATAAAAAAAAAGCTACAGCAAGTTTAGGACACGGACCTTGCATCTACCTGAACATTTCAGGGTCACTGTCAAAATCCATCCCACGTATGTCAGCTTCCCATCATCTCATGGTCGACATCATCTGTTCATACTTGGCCAATTGTCCATGATGTTTTCTCGGCGCATGAGGTACTTCCGATGCATGTTCATGGGTGCGGGAGTTCAAAAACCTCCGAGTGACGTCAGTGTGAGTTCACCATCGTGTCTTTATCTTTTGTGTGGTCGGTTGGGTGGATTTCTCCTTCCGCTTTCGTAGGTTTGGACTTCGGTTCAGTGAGGGAAATGTTCTGATATCTCACGTTTCAATAAATCTGAATTTATATATATATATATATATATATATATATATATATATTATATTATATATTTTTTTTTTTTTTTTTTTTTTTTTTTTTTTTTTTTTTTTTTTTTTTTTTTTGTGTGTGTGTGTGTGTGTATGTGTGTGTGTGTGTGTGTGTGTGTGTGTGTGTGTGTGTGTGTGTGTGTGTGTGTGTTGTGTGTGTGTGTGTGTGTGTGTGTGTGTGTGGTGTGTGTGTCCTTTGTGTATACGACTGGCTTCCTACATTGTGGCACCTTATATTGAAGTATATTTATTTTGGTACAAAACTTACTACTGTTATATGTGTGTGGTGGTGTTTGTGTGTGTAAGTGGTGTGTGAGTGTGTGTTTTGGTGTTGTGTGTATGCGATTGGATGTGTGTGCAGTGTAGTGTGGTGGATGTGAGTGATGGAGGTAGTGTTCTGTGTAGTCTGTCTGTCTGTCTTTGATTTGTTGTGGTAGAAAGGCTATGGTGTTGCAAGAGAAAAGTCGTAGAGACGGGCACGAGACGCACTCTGTAGACGCTAGGAGATATAACGGAGATGGCGGATAGCGGAGAGCGAGGTCACATGAATGACTCTTTGACTCGGATACACACTGGTGCGTATCGAATACGTGCACTCTAATCACTCGATAGCCTGCCAGTAGTAAGACAGAATTCAACGCACGTTGTCCCAACTTCAGTTTATGTTAAAACTACGTCTGAGTCTTTTGTGAGTGCGAGATAGTCAATATTAGCCGTTGCCCAATAATTGCAATTTCCATCTTGCTTTGTCTCTATTCTCTCATGCCAAAGATTGTGCTGCCCCCGAGACTCTCTAACGTTGGTTATTGGGATCCGTTTTCGTTATCTCTAGAATTCTGCACATTCTCATCTCCTTAACTTGCCTTCGCGACCACATTCTCTTCTCTCTCCCTACGCATCGGAGGTCAGCACAAGTACCTTAAAAATTAACTGAGAGGCGGGCCTGGTCTCATCTTTTGTTTTAATGTCGTATATATATATATAATATATATATATATATATATGTAATTATATATTATATATATTACCTATTATCGTTCTCTATTTCCTTACTACCGCATATAATATAGTATAAATAAGATAATGATTATGCAAGTATTGACACAGTAGAGGGTATTGATGACTAGGAGGGGGCGTTGGATAAGACGCACTTATGTAAATACGAGCGTAGAGAGAGTTGCGATGCAAAGTCGAGGCGAGAGGAGAGCAGTTCTTGCCCACGAATACGTGTACTTTAAATCGTGCATCCATAGAAGTGACGTGCCTGGAATGAGAGTGTGATAGAGGAGACGGCTTCGTATTTCGCTCTCATCCTTTCATACTTCCTTCGCAATTCCGCCCTCAACCTTGTGATATATTAAGAAACACGCTTCCCTAACCGGGGAAAGTTCGTCTTGAATGCCTGCTTCTGT